CTTACATCATTTTAAAAATAAGCAGGATCACAGTTTTTTTAGCCTACAAGTTGCATTTTTCACTAACATATTTTGCCACCTCCTCATGTCATTTCATAGGATTGTTCATCCATCCTAATGAACTTCTTCATACTTTACAATGTAGAGGTGCTGTGATCTTTTAAGCACTCTCCTTTTAGGGACACCCACCTGCTTGAAGTTTTTATTGTCAGTCTTGCATTGAACATTGGGTATCTGCAGTTTTGGCCATAACTGCAAGTATTTCTTAGTCTGCTTCAGTCTTTCAGTTTTTTTTCCCATTAAGTTTATTAGAACATTTTAGGTTTACAGTACAGTTAACATTCATCGTTAGGATCTTATACCCTAACATGATGTATCCTGGTTCTTATTTTCCCCATTCCCCTGTCCTCTCTTCACCGCCCCATACTTTGTTGCCATGTTTTCTATTTCTCATATTTTTTCTTTTCCCTTCTTTCCCTTCCCCTACCCTCCCACTTTCCCTACTCGTTTATACATTTTCTTCCTCTTTTGCAATATCAATTATACATTTCCATCCTTATTTACGCTTTTAGTTTTTCACAGCAGAGAAACTATTTGGTATTTACACATGTGTGTCCTTTAATTTCACTTGAGTATGGCCTCAGTGTGCATCCTTTTACCTATAAATGTCTCTAGCTTCTCATTCTTTATGGCTGAGCAGTACTCCATTTTATAAAAAACAAAACAAAACAAAAAAAAAAAACCCACATCTTCCTTATCCAGTCTCCAGTTGATGGACAGTTGGGCTGTTAACAAGTTTTAGCTGTTACAAACTGTGCCACTATAAACATGGGTACACATATATCACTGTGATAAGGTTCTTTTCTTTTGGGAAGATACCCAGCAGGGGAATAGCTGAGTCAAATAGAACTTCTAATCCTAGTTGATTGAGGTGTCTCCGTATTGATTTCCACAGTGGTTGCACCAGTCTGCACTCCCACCAACAATGGAGAAGGGTTCCTTTCTCTCCACAACCCCACCAACATTTGTTATTGGTTTATTTCTTGATAGCAGACATTCTTTCTGGGGTGAGGTGGAATCTCAGTGTTGTTTTCATCTGCATCTCTCAAATGGTCAGTGATGTTGAACATTTTTTCCATATGATTATTTGCTTCTTTGCCTGAGAAATGTCTGTTTATGTCAGATTTTTTAAATTGAATCTTTGTATTTGGGGGTATGATTTTGTTTTAGTTCTTCATATCTTCTACATAGTAGACCTTTGTTTGAGGAATGCCTGTTAAAAGTTTTTTCCCACATTGTAGGTTGTCTCTTAGCTCTGTTGGTGGTTGCTTTTGCACTGCAGAACCTTTTTAATAAGATGACATCCCAGTTGTTGACTCTTTGTGCTTGTTCCTGTGCTGCTGAGGATTTGTTCATAATGTCTTTTCCTATGCCAATGTCTTGGAGAGTTCTACCTAACTTAGCGTCCAGCATGTTTAGTGTTTCTGTTTTAATATTTAGATCTTTAATCCACTTGGATTTTAGTTTAGTGTGTGGTGAAAGATGGGAGTCAAATTTTAATCTTCAGCAAGGTGAAATCCAATTTTTCCAACACCATCTATTAAAGAGGCTATATTTCCTCCAGTGAGGATGGTTGGCTCCTTTGTCAAAGATGAGGTAGCTGAGTATGTCTGGAGTTGTTTCTGCATCCTCTAATCTATTCCACTGATCCTCGGGTCTGTTTCTTTGTCAGTACCATGCTGTTTTTATCATGGTGGCTTTGTAGTATAGCTTTAAATTGGAAATTGTGATACCACCTGCTATGTCTCTGTTGCCAAGAATTGCTTGTGCTATTCTAGGTTTCTTCTGGTTCCAGATGAATTTTTGGATTGTTTTCTGAGGCTCTGTGAAATATACTATAGGGATTTCAGTCAGGATTGCACTGAATCTGTATAGCAGTTTTGGAAGTATGGCCATTTTCACTATATTGGTTCTTCCTACTCAGGAACAGGGGATATCTTTCCTAGTCTGACAGGTTTGTTTGTGACTAGAGTAGAAGCGTAAAATTGCAGCCTATGAGTTAAGGCCAGCTCAGAGACATTGCATTCTTAAAAAAAAATTGAATTAGTCCAACATTTAAAGATTGGGAAATTTTATGTAAAAACTATGTTCCTGACTTCTTTTGAAAGATTGGAAGGCTAGAGAATGCTGGCCCTGCATTTTCATGGGGTTGCCAAAGGCTGGAGCTGAGCTTCCCTGGCCAGTTTTCCATGAGGTCTCATTCGCATGGCTTTTCTGATGCTGAGTGTCATCAGCCCTTCGTCTTATGACTGTTCTGACACCCTGAAGTGTTGTATTCATTCGTGTTTCTCATCTTATCCTATATGGACCTGTTAATTCTTAATAACAGCTCTTTTAGCTATTCAAAACATTTTCTGTTTTGCATTTTTGGCATTTTGGAGTTCTTTCTTTTGGGGGAACCATCCCATGCATGGTTGGATACTCCGTGTCCTTGACCTCTAGCTTTTAAATGCCAATGGCTTCTCTTTGCCACCATGTCTGTTAGTGGAAAAGCCCCTGAATCCTTTATGTAGTTTGACAATTTGCCAGCAGGGAAGGACCACCAAGTTTCCTCTTAAAACAAATGTGAGCTGAGAGATATGTAAAAGTGGCACCTTGAGAACTTCTTGGGGTGTAAACTTAGAAAGAGCTGCATGATTTAACAGCTCTAAGAATGTTGTGTAGTCTGTGCAGGAGATAGAGAAAGTGCTGGATATGGAGGGAGGGTGACAGCAGAGTATGGTGCTCTTCCCCGGCCACTTCCCTCAAGACCATTTTTCCTCCAAAAATCGAAGATGGTGTCACATTTTGTTTTCTCACTAGGTGATAGCTCAGTGCTGTTTCTTTCCTCCAACTAGTTGATATATAAGTGTGTGAAAGTACACACACACACACACACATGCACATTACAAACAACAAGTGAAAATAAGAGAAAGGAGTTGAGGGTAAATGCAGATGGTTGTGACTGTGTCATCACCGAGCTCATGCTGCCGGAAAGTCTCGCTAAGATGCACAGACACACCCTTCAGGCTCCTCTCATTAAATGCTGAGGAGGCATTATTTATTTAACTAAGTACATCTGCATGCTAAAAATAAATTAACAGAAATCCCAATGTTAATATAGATAATAAGCATAATGACCATTGGCAGTCCATGTGTATAATCACAGGGTCAGCATTTAATGATACCACCTCTTCCTGCTTTGCCACTAGGCAGAATTATCATGGCCAATATTCTGTTAAGCCAATATCCATTGTTTCTTAGATGTGTCCAGAGAGGTAGTGAGACCATTTCTATTCCAGTCTCACAGCAACATATTTAGTTATAAATTTAAAAATAATAGTTAATAGTAATAAAATGTTTTAAACTGCTTGTAGTTTAAGAATTTTATTAGTTGTTAAATATAATTTATTTATATTATAAATTGCTTGGAATCGTACATCATATTTTACCATTGTTTCAGTATTTAAACATTTTTACTTTTAAAGTAAGCCTGTGTTTTAGAAGGAGTTCTGTGCCTGTGGAACGCTAATCGCAACCCCTGTGTTTGTTAAAAATTGGACAAGAGTTATGAAATCAAGTCATCAGTCATTCATATTTTCTTGAGTAATTATTTTATTTAGGGGATAAAGTGGAGGGGAATAAAGTCAACCAAACTTCTTTGTTTTAGTTGCAGTTGCATTGCTGTGAGTTCAGCCGATATGAAATGTTTAGTTGGATGTTTCCAAATTTCTCCATACAATTTTTAAAGATTAATTTGATTCAGAATCAAAGCCATTTTCCTTGTTTGCATGGTGACACGTGAGCAGCCGTCCCATGGGGATGGGGTTACTGTTTTTTTTCCTTCTTGCAAAAGTTCAAGCACGACTTTCTGCCAAATTTGACAAACTCCAATAATTTCGCCATTTTTTTCCCCTGTTAAAATTAACTAGTGCTCTCATTGGCTTCAATACTCAAAAAAGTCAGTCTTGAATACTTAATAAACTTTTTATTAAAGAGAAGGGCCGAATTCTCTTTTAGTATACAATATCTCCCTTATGCTAGACTTTTGTTTTGTTGCTATTTGTAAAAGTAATCATGAGAGAAGCACCTTGGTATTGTGGAGTCAGAAACCCTCAGTGGTACCAAGGTGCCCTAGGAGAGGTTTCAGACACATAATCCAGCAGTTGCTTTTGTGCCTAGCAATTCTGTTGAAAGTGTGCCATTCTCATTAGGCAAACCACTTGCAGTCTGTTTGGAATTACAGTATTTGCAAATTATTTCCCATCTCCAAGGGCCATTTAAAATGGAAAGAGAAGAGATACGAAATTTTGAAAATGTTGTCCTAGGGTTTTATGCCTGGGAAACACAACAAAGCAAATGTCATGGGGAGCCCTGATTCAGCTATTTGGTTACATAATTCTCCCTAAGTGACCTATGCTCTTTGAATCTATAAAATGGGATCCATGACATTTATTTGAAAAAAATTGCAATGATTTTTTAATGAGAAATGTTGCTATGTTAGTGTTACAGACGGAAAGCATGGAGCAAGCCTCATTCCTATTCCAGCCTGTTCCCTTTCTTAGCTTCTCATTGGACAGAAATGTTTATCTAAAAATGTGTAAGTTTTCTTTTCAGGAGATACATTTAATTATGAAGCACTTTTATAAGGTCACTCAATTTTAAAAATCCCTAGTATTTCATAATTCAGTTTTACTTCTGTGTTTCTTCAGATTTAAAATTTGCTAAAGATCTGGGTAAATATGTATGTTTTATAATAGAAACAATGAAAAGAATGCTTTCAAGAACTGAAGTTGCACCCTTAGGTTTTGGGTCCTAATGCAGCTACGAAATGCTGAGATCTTGAGGGACTTTCTGTTCGTAAAAGATAAAAAAGATTTTCTTTCTTTTTCTCAAGTCTCCCATCATTAAAGTTTGGTTCTAACAGCCGACTCCTTCTCTTTTTCATGTGTGTTGAAAAGCAGCTACTCCCTGTATCAAAGCCATCAGCCCGAGTGAAGGATGGACAACGGGAGGTGCGACTGTGATCATCATAGGGGACAATTTCTTTGATGGGTTACAGGTCATATTCGGTACCATGCTGGTCTGGAGTGAGGTAGGTGTTGTCTGAACATTAATATCTAATAGCTTGCTGTAGCTGAAGACACTGCCTATGCTTGAATTTCTAATAGAATGTGTAGAATTTAGTGATGCCACCCTGGATAGGCTGGCTAGTATGTCCATAGAGCTTTAGGAAAGTAGGAAGGGTGAACTGAGTTTACCAGGAGGCAGCAATTTCTATTGGAATGACTCCCACCCTCCGGTCCATGAGTACGGAGGAAAATTCTGTTTCATAATTTGTCCTCTTGGGTGTGCCGTGGTGCGGAGGTCTTCTTCTATACTGGGAACTGGAAAGGAGATGCAAAATTTCAAAACGTACGGGAAAAGTTATGCAAAGTTTAGCAAGGGGGTAATCTTGGATGTTCTTTAGGCAGTCGACTGGAGCCATTTTTCAAAGAATATGGTTCAGGTGACAGCAGTGATTCAGGGGCAGGTGGTTCTTCACTTACACAATGACTTTTCATTAGCAAGTGAATTCTGCAGTTCACTAAGGGAAACTGGAAGAACCCAGGTCTTCCCCCCTCCCCCAAGGAATTTATAGCTCTTGAGAATACCTCAGAGTGTGACACCAACCGCACGACAATGACTCTGTTCTGTTTGTCCAGCACTGTGATCATTATTTTAACTGCAATTTGACTTTTCTGGAAATAATGAGCATTAACTTTAAGATCACGAAACATAAACATCAAAATTTATAGATGTCATGACAGACTTGCCTTTGCTTTCTAGCCTAGATTTCTTAGCCAGCAGGTTCGGAGCCCCTTTCTTTCACCCCACCGAAGTGTAGACTAAAAACATTGTTAAGGAATACAAGAGACCATAGTGGTCCATTCACTCTACTTGCTTTTTGAGTAGTCATGTTAACTGCTATACTTTATTGAGACTTTCAGGGCCGGGGATTTCGCTCAGTGGTTCTGGAGCCTGCCTTGCAAGCACAAGGACCCGAGTTCACTCCCTGGTACAAAAAAAAAAAAAAAAAAAAAAAAAAAGAGAGAGATACACAATTTGCTAGGCAGGGTGCGGAACTCTACATAGATCATCTCACTCCTCTTTATACTACTAAGTAAATGCTCTTAGATTTGTTTTTTTCTGATAAGGCTTCTGGGACTCAGAGATAAATTGTTACAAAATGAGAGAGCAGCTACTCCATGCCCATAGAGCGCAAGTGATAAGTATGTGGCCACACAAGAAATCAGAAGCACAGCAAGAGTCAGAACCTGGATTTTCTACTTCTACCTCTAGTTGTCCTTCCATGACACCAGTCTAGGCCATCTAGATGTGTGTTTTTTCTTTAGGGGCCCACATAATTGAGCAGAGAGTTTAGGCTGTGATAGTTGGGCATACATCTTCAACTAAACATCCCACAGCAGAGCCTGTGCTTCTTCTATAGCTGTCAGTGGGCACTTCCAACTGCCAGTAACCCACTCAGTTGAACCCTTGCCAGTTCATGCTGCTGCTACCTTTGTATTTCCCACTCAGCCAACAAGAGTTATGCACTTGGCTGGAGAATCAAAGCTTTCATAGAGCTGAATCAGAAATGGGCTTCTCAGTCCATGCAGCCAATTGTTATTCAAGTTGAAATACTCCAGGCCAGAGAGGTGGCCCAAACTCCTCCTGCCCACTGCCCTTAATTACTCCCTGGAACCACTGGGTGTGAATGAGAGCTGGCACATACTTGGCCTATTGTGATGCCAGCCTGGTGACTTCATCCTGCTGCAGACCACAGTCCTCACAAGGACAACCTCGCCCAGGTCTTTTGAGCTATATAGCTTCATGCCTCTCTATTGCTCTTTTTGTTGCTTTTTCATGGAAATTGGGAGGAGGAAATAATAAATCTAATTCCTCTCTTCTTGTCACCAGAGTGAGGTTGCAGGGGAATCAGAATGGGCAGTAAGTCTTACTGACCTTCTGAGGAGGATGTGGGTTCCTCTAAGCTTCCTGTAAAAGCTTGTGCCCATCTTTACCTAGTGGACTCTTTTGGATGTGGAAAGGGGCACATCAAGAAATCGTTAACTTGCTTGTCTGTCACCTTACTAGTCTTCACAAGGTGGCCATTTCACTCCCCAAATGTAATGCCCTTTTTTGGGAACAGCTAAGGGAGATTAACATCTAATTTAGATTTATTCAAATTGCTTTAAAGTTCTGTTTGCTTATAGCAAGACTGATAGAAATTGTGGGAAGGAAAACCGACTGAAGCTCTTCTCCCCCTCCCTCTCCTCTCCCTCCCCAGACTCTGGCTCTTTGTGCCCAAAGCCCCTCTTTATCAAGCCCCAGAGGTCATTCTGGGCCCCAGAACCCATGCTGGTCCACCAGGAGGTAGTGTAGGGCACCCATGATTCCTACTATCTCCTCCTCCCAAACTTCCCTTAGTTATGGCTGTGTCCTAAATCAACTATGACCCTATTTAGGAAGAAACTGACTATGTAGTTTCCCCAAGTACTTGAGGAGCTGTTCTTTTAAATTAACCAAATCCATAGAGCATTAGCAGTTGGGTATCTGGATAAAGAAATTTAATGCGGGCTGTTACCCTCATGATGTTCTGATAGAATAGTACATCTTGCAGAAATGCACCTTTTTGTATGATATTTTAAACTTCATGCAAGAATATTCATACAAGATATTTAGCAGATACAATTTTCTTTCCTTTTTGTGCAGAAAGAATTTGGTATTGCCGAAAATTCACTGTATAATGGTGAAAAATCGAGAAGTGGCCCACACGAAGGGCAATTATATGCAGGCACTTTATGGTTATTACTTTATTAAATCTTCTCAGTAGTCCCATGTTAGGTACTCCTGTTATCTGAAGTTTGCATGTGAATAACTTAGCCTCAGAGAGGTTAAGAAACTGGCATCAGGCCGCACAGCCGGGTAATAGTAGAGATTGGGTTTGAACTATAGTGAATATGTTAAAGAAGTAAAAGTTCTGGATTATAAGGGAGAAAATGCAGTTTGAAGAGAAGGAAGAATGATAAAGGAAATGGAGAAAAAATGAAAAAGTAGTAGAAAATAATACTCTACCAATACTAGTAGTAATGCTGCTTTTTGCTTTCAATCAAATAAAATGAAGTGAAGACCTCTTATCTGTTTAGGAGAAAAAATTAACCATTTGAAATCAGTTCTCAAGGCATGTGCTGGATAGAATCAGAAATCGATACTGTGACTATTTCATAGATGGTAGCTGTGGAAAAGTTACAGGAAAATGCAGTTTGGTTGAGATTAGGTAACATTCACTGAGCACTTAGTTCCTGCTGGGCAATATGTCTGGTTTGGCTGTGATGTAAGCCTCTCAGCAGCTATAAGTGCTATATTGTTCTCATTCTATTGATGATGTACTTGCAGTTGTTCAGTCAATAAATTGTGAAGTGACAGAGATAGGATCTGAGCCAAGGCCCTAGGGCTCAACTTTTTAACCTTTCATGACTATTAAATGCCAGTTTTGACCCTAGGTTGTTACCTTATCTGACCACTGCATTATGCCCACCCTTGCCAAGGTTGCCTCATGCTGGGTGTCTTTGCAGGTAGTGTCACCTCCCAAAGTGAGAGAGGCACATATAGCATCAGAGTGGTAAGAAGAAGGCCCTTCATTTTCTAGTAATGTATCATTTTGATTGGAGCCATTGGATTCTAGGAGGACTTTATCCTTATGAAGTAAAGGATGTAGTCCTTAGACTGGGACAAGACAGTTCATCATCTCGGGCCTCATCTCTAGAACTGGACCCCTACTTATCCACAGTCTTTGCCAGCAGACCACATGATTTTTAAGGTTCTTGGTATCTCTAAGATCCAGGACGTCTGATTTCACGTATCCTTTGATCTCCATTTCCTCATGATAGCCCAAAGCACCGCAGAAGTGGGCTGTCAGGCCAGGACAAGCAGATAACACTTAAGATTAGCAGCTGATGCTATTATTTGAAGTCTATTTTTAGCTGAAGAATTTTAAAAAGAGTGAGAGAAAATAGAGTTGGTTTAATTTACCCTCATCTGTGCTGTTCCTCTACCAACCCAATCATTTGCAAATGAGTAGTTCAGTTTAGCTCACTGATTGCCCCCTAAGGGTTGGAGCAAAGAAAGGTGGCATCCATTGCTCCTAACTCAGGGCTGCCTTCTGTGAGCTCCAGAAGTTCAGAAGGCTTTCTTGTGCATTGGGTTTGCCACCTTGATTGCATTGTTTCTTGTTCCTTTTATCCTCTCCTCCCTTTAAAGTAAATTACTTTACTGATATTCTTGAGTACTTTACTCCCAAATATTTAAAAGAAAAATCTTTGTAGTGCTTTATATAGAAGTCTAGGAAAACCAGTGGGGGTGATATGTGCTAATTTTTATGTGGGTTGAATTCTTTCTTAACCAGAAATGCACTTGGTTGTTTTGCTTTCCTACCCACATGGAAGTTGGAGCAGGGAGGGGCTCCTGCTACTGTTTTGTAGAGTTCATCATTATTTTAGTGTCTCCTTTTGAATTCCTTTAATTTCTAGACGGTGAGTACTGGTTGGCTTGTTTTCTGATTGTCTAACACTGGGATAGGTACCATGGGTCATTAAAGTTGGGCTTTGTGGGATCTGGTGTTTTATTTGGAAAGGCAACTTGCTCCCACGAAGCAAATTAGAGAGTTGCATAATATATTTATATAATCTACTATAAAATTTATGTGTGGCTTAAAATCCAAGGCAGGGTTCTAGAAGGCAGAAAGAATGGAATAGTCAGAAAGAGACTGTTCAAAAACCAATCAAGTTCCAATTACACATAGATGGCTCTCTGTGCTAGGTATTTAATATGCCCTCATGATCCTGTTATTGAGTCACAGGAATATCTGAGAAAATGCATACAGCCTTAGATATTCAGTCTGCCTTTAAAAATGGTACTGTGTTAGGGTCGATGAGGAACGGAAGACAACACCCTAAGCAAAGGTTTTGATTGCTTGGGGTTGTAGTAGACAGAAGACATTAGAGAGACCTAGAGAATTATTGCAATCCTCTTGCCCAGATGGTCTAGATTTAA